ACATATTCTCGCTCTCAAATTTTTTTGAATNAGGGTTCCAAGTTTCAAATTTTTATGGATGAATGTGTGTATATATAATATGACACTCTCAACATATTCTTGCTCTCAATTTTTTTTGAATTTTACCACTCTTGCGCTCCCGTTCTTAAATTTTATATATAATTTTATTAGTTTTTATTGATGAATGTGTGTACAATAATGATGTAGTTCGGGTCAACAAAATTCGGATTATAAGATTGATTATGGGGCCCCATTTAACGTGCTAAATCATTCCCCAGTGTTGTAGTAAAGAAGGGCAGGGGAAAGTTCCAAACCTTGTCTAAATGATGAAGAAAACGATGAAGAATCAAAGATAAGGTCTGTCTTTGAGTTGATATATATATATATATATATATATATAAGCCAAATGTCGATGCAGACAATACGTCAAGAAGTCCCCANAACGATGAAGAATCAAAGATAAGGTCTGTCTTTGAGTTGATATATATATATATATAAGCCAAATGTCGATGCAGACAATACGTCAAGAAGTCCCCACAGACAGATAAGTATGCATAGCTGGGGTAGTGATTAAGTAGGCCATTGCTGCCATTCACACCACACTATGAAGAATGTTCTTGTTTCTACAACCTTAACTCTACTTAGTTCTAAGAAACAGTTCTGGTTGTTGGGAAGACTAGTTTGGTGTAACTAAGTGTGCAGGCTGATTTTTGCACAATGGATGAAACGTGAACAAATCTCCTCCGCGATAAACTCGTGTTCATCAAGGTGGTGAATCCCGCAACAAAGAATGAGTTGAGAGGGCCAAAAANCTAAGAAACAGTTCTGGTTGTTGGGAAGACTAGTTTGGTGTAACTAAGTGTGCAGGCTGATTTTTGCACAATGGATGAAACGTGAACAAACCTCCTCCGCGATAAACTCGTGTTCATCAAGGTGGTGAATCCCACAACAAAGAATGAGTTGAGAGGGCCAAAAAAGCCTTAAGGAGTGGTGATGAATTGTTTCAGGAGACGTCCAACTGATTCTGGTGGGTCGCAAGATGCTCTTGACACACAAAGAAACAAGTTAGAAGGGCGTCGGAGTGTTTTTCGGCGTATCCCCTTCGACGATTAAATCAGTTCTTTGAAAGAGGGGAAAAATAAAATACTATGATTTTTGAGAGGTTATTTTATGTACCTTTGCAATGTATTTTTTAGGACTATTTATACCTTCAAAGACTCATTATTACAGCTAATCTAGACAGTAGGTAGTCTTTAGAGATGAGACAGTGTGTCTCCTATTTTACGTAGGGAATGTTCCAGTATTAATCGCTCGGGCCCCCGAGCAGTTAATGCTCTTTCTTTGATGTAGAAGCTTTAAATGCTAAGAACCCAAGACATTTAATGCCCCTTATCCTCGGCTTCTGAAGCCACTATGGATGTCCCATCATATGAGAATTTATTAAAAATTTGTCTGAAACAATCGTATGTCAGCAAGGGTAGTTTTGTTTTTTTACCCCTTATTCTTCATCTTACGCCACGCGTCTGACTCCTCCTGGCCGAGAGTTCAATTAGTTCTGCTATTTTGACTTTATTGTGCAGAGTGCCCTCCTGACTCTTAGTCTAGTTTAGATTGTTCAGCTGTCAATCAGTAGTCTCTCTAAAAATCGAAGACTTGTGATAGGAGCGGTGTGAGTACCCTCGGGGCCGAGGACACTTGTCCCTCCGGGAGTGGAGGTACACTTGGCACCGAGAACATATGTTNATTAAATCAGTTCTTTGAAAGAGGGGAAAAATAAAATACTATGATTTTTGAGAGGTGATTTTGCATACCTTTACAATGTATTTTTTAGAACTATTTATACCTTCAAAGACTCATTATTACAACTAATCTAGGCAGTAGGTAACCTTTAGAGATGAGACAGTGTGTCTCTTATTTTACGTAGAGAATGTTCCAGTATTAATCGCTCGGGCCCCCGAGCAGTTAATGCTCTTTCTTCGATGTAGAAGCTTTAAATGCTAAGAACCCAAGACATTTAATGCCCCCTATCCTCGGCTTCTGAAGTCACTATGAATGTCCCATCATATGAGAATTCATTAAAAGTTTATCTGAAACAATCGTATGTCAGCAAGGATAGTTTTATTTTTTTACCCCTTATTCTGCATCTTATGCCACGCGTCTGACTCCTCCTGGCCGAGAGTCCAATTAGTTCTGCTATTCTGACTTCATTGTGCAGAGTGTCCTCCTGACTTTTAGTCTAGTTTAGATTGTTCAGCTGTCAATCAGTAGTCTCTCTAAAAATCAAAGACTTGTGACAGGAGCGGTGTGAGTACCCTCGGGGCCGAGGACACTTGTCCCTCCAGGAGTGGAGGTACACTCGGCACCGAGAACATATGCTTAGGCGCCGAGGAACATGTCTGTCAGAATAGGGTAGTCTCGGTGCCAAGAACACGTGGCTTTGCCAGAGGCAAAAAATGTACCTCGACACCGAGGACACGCGTCGTTGATCAAATAACCTCCTGGAAGCGTCCCATCACTAAGGAACGCCTATTTTTTTTAAAAAAAAATGGGTTAATTGTATTGAAAGTGCTCAAAATATAAAGTTTGTCTCATTTTAATATGTAATATTTCAATTGTATCATTTTGGTTTCTGAAGTATTGAATATGTTTTTATGTAGNAGAGGCAAAAAATGTACCTCGACACCGAGGACACGCGTCGTTGATCAAATAACCTCTTGGAAGTGTCCCATCACTAAGGAACTCCTATTTTAAAAAAAAAATGGGTTAATTGTATTGAAAGTGCTCAAAATATAAAGTTTGTCTCATTTTAATATGTAATATTTCAACTATATCATTTTGGTCTCTGAAGTATTGAATATGTTTTTATGTAGTCTCTCAAACAGACACCATTCAAATTGCTATCGATTTTTTATCATAAATTTATCACGTGATACCTAAATATAGACAAAAAATAATTTGGACAGCTCTTGACTAAAATTTAGATAGCTNTTTTTTATCATAAATTTATCACGTGATACCTAAATATAGACAAAAAATAATTTGGATAGTTCTTGACTAAAATTTAGATAGTTTTTGCTCTGGACAAAAAATGTATAATATGGGTAGCTCTTGATCAAAATTTCAATGACTTATTATCAAAACTGTGTAATTTTGGTAGTTATTTGACTAAAATTTAAGTAAAAATTTANTTTTGCTCTGGACAAAAAATGTATAATATGGGTAGCTCTTGATCAAAATTTCAATGACTTATTATCAAAACTGTGTAATTTTGGTAGTTATTTGACTAAAATTTAAGTAAAAATTTAATGAAGAGGTATCCAAATTATTTTTTTAGCTATATTTAAGTGTTACGTGACAAATTTATAATAAAAAATTGTTAACAATTTAGACGTTGTTTGAGGGATTACATATAAACATATTCGATATTTCAAGAATTAAATGATACAATTGAAATATTAGAGATTAAAATGAGATAAACTTCATATTTTGAAAACTTCCAATGCAATAAACTTTAATTAGGTAAGCTAAAATTGACCTATCAAAACAATCTCCTAAAGCCCGATAATTATTTGGCACCCTTTTATCGAGATATCGTAGTTTTAAACTTTCTTACAAGCTATTATTGAAAGTCTGTTTGCGAAACATGACTTTAGTATAAAAGCTTGCTTGCGAAACACGAATTTGTAAAGTATCAAGATATTGTGATTTCAAACTTCCTTAAAAGCTATTATTGTTTTAATAAATTCATGTTTTGAAAGCAAGTCTTTAGACTAAAGACATATTTTGCAAAGACTTTCAAAATTTTTTATATTGAAGGTGGGTTTCTAAAATACGACTTTGTAAAAATAACCATAGTTTAATAAACAAGTTTGAAACTAGGGTATTTTAGTAAAAAGGTTTTTAAAAAAACAGTAGAAGAATAATTGATTCTATAATAAAAGCAATCAAACATATTTTTTTGTTTTTATTTTTAGCTAACAAAAATCTAAAACTGATTCTGAAAAATCCAAAATTATAAACATTACCAAACGAGCCCCGAATAATTCAACTCTGTGGCTCAATCTACTGTTGTCAATTGACACTTATTTTTCTTCATGCACTCCTGGGAAGGGAGAGGGTAGAAGATGTTTAAATTGCCATTGGGAATGAAAAGGTGAATATACAGAAATAAATGTGTGTGTGTGTCTGTGTGCGTGCGCGCCTGTGTGTGTGTGCAGCAAGCAGGAAGACTTGGCTTAATATATAGTCTCAGTACTGTAAGCATGGCCAAACAATTAGAAGATATCCATCAAGCACAGTAACAGTTAACTATGGCCAATCACACTTACATGATTCTCAGTTCAAGACAGACCTCCGCTGCAACATTTTTTTTTTGGGAGGGGGAAGGTGAAGGGGAAGTGGGAGGGGGATTTGATTTCTTGACCTTAAGAAGGCAAAACTTTTACAAGACAAGGAGTACCATTGAACCAAAGGCTTATTGGTACCTCCACTGCAACATATCCATCATCTTCTACTTTCAAAATTATAAACATTTTCACTCTCCAATACAAATTAGTTTAGACCAAGTGGCAATCACAGTCAAGACAAGTTAGGCGGTCACTGGAAACAGAAAAAAGATTCAAATGTAGTTGCAAATGGAATTCAAATAGTATTAGCATATAGAAGTTAAAATCAAACATAATTCAGCTCAAAAGAGCCTTTTCTCCATTACTTGGGGTTGGCCAGAAGATAATATGAAATTGATTAAGAATAAGTCATTCCATAATCCATACTTGACGTACACACCCTACGTTCATGAAGAAGGAAAATTTTCCAATGAAACGTAAACTGGCTACAAACATTACGACTTTTAGCACCACAGGTAATAATGGAATCCAAATGAAAAAAAAAA